GACAACTCCAATTCTCTCTGTAATAGGGTAAGGTCCATAGTATATAGCAGCAAGTTTAGCATTAATTCGGGTTACCACAGAATTTTGCCTGTGTGCTCTCAACTTAACGAAGACCCACTCTCCTACTTCAAAACTTCTTTCACTTCTCTTCTTATCAGCCTGAGCCTTCATCCTATCTTGTGCTCGGTGTAAATGACTTCTCAACTGTCTGATTGCCTCACCCCTTTCTACTAAATCTCTCTGTACTGCCTCAACCTTTGTCTCTCCTTGAACCCATCTACCCATCACAGGAGGAAGTCTACCATAGACTAGTTCAAAAGGGGTGTGCTCTGTAGTAGTATGAAATGAAGTATTGAACCAATATTCAGCCCAATGTAACCATGACATCCAATTCTTGGGCTGATCAGAGATGAAGCATCTAAGGTACGTCTCTAAACACCGGTTAACTACTTCTGTCTGGCCATCAGACTCTGGGTGATAGGCCGAGCTCATCTTGAGTTGAGTTTCCTGGGCCTTAAACAATTCCCTCCAAAAATTGCTCATGAAGACGGGATCTCTATCACTCACTATAGACGTAGGTATCCCATGCAATCAGACTACTTCTTTGCTAAAAATCTCAGCCAAAATTCTAGCCGTATATGGATGCTTAAGAGGAATAAAGTGACAATATTTAGACAACCTGTCCACAACTACAAAAATAGCTTCATACCTTTTGGATTTTGGCAGGCCGGTGATGAAATCCATAGAAATATCTTCCCAAATGCGTTCCGGTATGGGTAGGGGTTGCAACAAACCTCCCGAAGAAGAAGCTAAATATTTTTGTCTTTGGCAAACATCACAGCTTCTTACAAATTCCTGCACTACTCCCTTCATTCCCACCCAATATACATTTGTTGCCAGCCTTCTATATGTCTTGTAGAACCCCGAATGCCCTCCTTGTGGGGTGCTATGGAACTCTTTCAATAACATAGGAATCATGGTTGAATGTCTTGAAAGGACCAGTCTACCATCATACATTAAGACTCCATGTTTGTAGGTATATCCAGGTTTGGAAACCGGATCTTGTGACAGTTCAGCTATTATTTTCTGCAATTCCTCGTCATTCTGCACCTCCTCCTTCATTAATTGTGTCTGATCCCACTGCAGAAAAGACGTGATACTCCTCAACTCCCTTCCCTCATGCATTCTAGACAAGGCATCAGCTCCTCTATTTAGTTTGCCTTGCTTATAGACAACCTCAAAATCATAACCAAGTAGCTTTGCAGCCCAGTTTTGCTGTTCTGCAGTAGATATTCTCTGCTGCAACAGTTGCTTCAGGCTCTTTTGGTCGGTAGAGACAATGAATTTCCTGCCAAGGAGGTAGGGTCTCCAGTGCTGTATAGCCAACCCCAATGCCATAAGTTCTTTCTCATATGCAGACTTAGACAGATTTCTTACTCCCAACGCCTTACTAAAGTAAGCTATCGGTCGTTTATCCTGCATTAGAATTGCCCCTATACAACTACCGGAAGAATCACATTCAATTATGAATGGTTTACAAAAATCAGGTAGAGCCAGGACAGGTGTTGTAGTGAGCTTCACCTTCAACTCTTCAAAAGCTCTCTGAGTTTCATTTCCCCATTTAAACCCATCTTTCTTTATCAACTCTGTTAACGGCTTAGCTATCCTGCCATAGTGTTTGATAAATTTTCAGTAATATCCAGTCAGTCCTAAGAATCCTCTAACTCCCTTCACATTCTTAGGTGTAGGCCATTGGGTCACACTGACTATCTTATTAGGATCCACAGCTACTCCCTCTTGGGATATGACATGCCCCAAATAGTCAATGGATTTCTGAACAAAGAGACACTTCTTCTTGTTGGCTACTAACCCATTGTCATCTAGACTTGTAACACCATTTGCAAGTGCTGCAAATGGGACTCCCAATCAGTGTTGTATACTAAGATGTCATCGAAGAAAACCAACACATATTTTCTAAGCATGGGTTTAAACACTTCATTCATGAGGCTTTGGAATGTGGAAGGTGCATTCATAAGGCCAAATGGCATGACGAGGAATTCATAGTGTCCCTCATGAGTACGAAATATTGTCTTGTATACATCTTCTTCCTTGACCCTTACTTGATGATAACCAGACTTTAAATCCAATTTAGAAAAAAATCTAGCACCATGCAACTCATCTAACAACTCTTCTATAACAGGTATTGGAAATTTATCAGGAATGGTTACCCTGTTTAGTGCTCTATAATCTATGCACATACGCCACGAACTGTCCTTCTTCTTCACCAATATTACCGGACTAGAGAAAGAGCTTGTGTTGTTCCTGATTATTCCGGTAGCCAACATCTCTTTGATTTGCTTCTCAATTTCATCTTTATGATGGTGAGGATATCTATAGGGCCTTACATTCACCGGATTTGTCCCTTCCACTAAATTAATAACATGTTCCTTGCCTCTGATTGGAGGTAGTCCCTTAGGCTCTACGAACACCGACGCAAAATCGTGTAATAACTGACCCAGCCTCTCCTTCTGCAGTTGGGACAAATGGTCCTCTGGTGCTCCACTCCACTGTTTCTCTATACTCCCTAACTTCCTTTCTCTCCACTGCTTGGGCTTTTCTAATATACTCTGCAGAGCCACCATGGACTCATCGTTGCTCCCTAAGCCTTGTAATGTAACCCACTCCTTATTACTCCAAAAGCTCATTAGTTGTTTCTTCCAATTCATAATCATATCTCCAAGTGTGTTCAGCCACTCTATTCCCAACACAACATCAATTCCCCCTAACTCAAACAGATGCATATCTGCTTGAATTCCAAAATTTCTAATCTTCAATTGCACCTCTCTGCAAACTCCTTGAGTCATGGTTTGAAAACCATCACCCAACTTGATTCTCATCTGTGAAGTCTTCTCCATGGGACAATCCATCTTGCTTACCAACTTCTGAGAAATGAAGTTATGCGTCGCCCCGCTATCTACCAACACAAGCACCGAAACTCCTTTGATCTCTCCTTGGAAACGTATAACTTGGGGAGTGTGATTAGTCATCTGATCCAAATGCATCAGGCTCATCTCTCCCTCCTCTTCGTCGTCCGCCTCATTCACTTCGATTGCCAGAACTTGGCCCTCTATCTCCTCCGTATCACTGTCATCGACAAGAAGGATCCAAAGGTGTTTATCGGGGCATTGATGTGTAGGAGAGAAAGGCCCTTTACATTTGAAGCAAAGCCCCTTCTGTTTTCTATCCATCAATTCCTGATAGGATAAATGTTGAAACCCACGTTCACGAGACCCATTCCTTCTCTTATCTCCATGGGCTGCTCTTTCATCTCTAGGCCCAATAGGGTTGCTTTTAGAACCCCCATTCACTCCACCTTCTCTATTTTTCACTAAAACCCAATCTGAATTTCTTCGGCCCGCTCCATGAGTTCCGGGTCGGTGTGACCCGCTTCCAAACCTGGACCCTCTCCTACTAGACGACCCATTTTCTCCATCGACCTCTTTCTCTACCGCACGCGTCACCTGTAACAACCTTGTACGACTCATTTCCCCCATGGCTACGAAGTTGCGAACTCGTCCTCTAATCTCCGCCTTCAACCCATGAAGAAAATATCCCAAAAATTGCTTGTCGGGCAATTTCGGAATCTGAGCCATGAGATATTCAAATTCGGTGATATATTCTTCCACCGTTCCACTCTGTTTAAGCCCTATTAATTGTTCATACACGTCACCGTCGTCGTAACCACCATATCTGGCCATCAGTGATTCCTTCAACTTCTCCCACGACAAGTCTTCATCTTCGCCGACCAGAGAATTGAAGAAATGAATCGTAGCTCCCTCCATACATAACTGAGCTAGATTCACTTTCAACTTCGATAGCGTCCCCTGAACACGGAAATACATTTCAGCTCGTGAAATCCACCCCGCAGGATCTTCGCCGTTGAAGGACGGTAGCTCTACCTTTTTGATGGATTGACGAAACTCTGTCAATGCATCACGACTGAGGTTGTAAAGCCCCGATCCGGAGGAATTCCCCTTCCCATTTGCAATACCTTCTCCTTCCAGCACCGTCTTCCCTAGACACTGTTCAAACATGGCCATGAGACTCTCATGGCTAGTCTTCACCGCATTCTGAACGTCTATCAACGTCGACTTCACCTCCGACATCTCTCCTTCTAACGGCGCTACCTTCGCATCCATCTTAACCTTTTTCGGGGGCATTCATTGGTTTCGAGAATGACAATCCAGCAGGTCGGACCAGTTTGTTACGAACTAACATAATAGTAAATCAATATAGCAGTAAAAAAAACAGTTATGGAAATATGGGAAGAAAGAGCTTTATTGATTAGTATGGAAACAAGTACAGAGAGCATAATGAATCAATCCCACAATGGGCCCAGAGCTATGCTCCTATAGGATCCTAGAGTATATTCCCTCTACTGACTGCTCCTTATATTGTGGAAACGTACTGCCCCCTCCTTCATGCCACCTCATGATTGGTAACTAACTCATCCTCTAATTCCCCTTTTTACCCCTTCTAGAATATACTTTCCAAACTCTGGGACCACTAGAGGTGTGGTGAATTAATTGTTCTGGTAACTGTAAATTATTGTCATTGTTTCTATCAATATGAATATTGAATTAGAGAAGCAAAGTATATTGAATAAAATTAACAGCAAAACAGACTCAAATGGAAAGACAAATTTAAAAGCTGAAAACAAGGTAGCTTTGTTTTTCTGCTTAGCAGATCTCTGTTGTAATGGACTAGCAACAATGTGACTGAAATTGTATGCAGATCACTATAAGATGTATCGAAATCACTTTTATTCCAACAGAGGGGTATTGTTTCATAGCAGCAGAAAATGATTGAAACATCAAAGACAACAACACTACAAAAATTTGCAGTATCCTCAGTCAACATTAAAAAATTTACTAAATTTCAGGTAACTTTTGAATATTGGAAGAAACATATCTCTTAGAAACACAATACAATACATTACTTCACTCCATGACAACATTTGCACCAAGTGCTTTCAGTTTCTCAATTATCTGTTCTCCTTCTTCCTTTGAAACACCTTTCTTTATAATAGAAGGTGTTTTTTCCACTATATCCTTTGCCTCTTTCAAACCTAAATCCGTAAAGCCCCGAACCTCTTTGATGACTTTAATTTTGGAAGCTGCTTTATAGGACAACAGTTTCAATTCAAATACGGTTTTTTCTGGTTTTACCTCCTCTTTGACTGCTGTTGAAGCTTTTGCTGCCATTCCAGCCAAATTTGCAGTCCCTGCTTTCAAATATCCCACATTAGGCATCTCCTTTATCCCCATTTTCTTCATTAGAACAAGACCCAGTTCTGCAGCTTCAGCTAGCGTAAGAGACGCCACTTCATCAACAAGCCGGAAAACTCTCTCTGATGGAGGGCCGCGATTCTCATTGGGATCAAATGTTGCAGGATCAAAATCAGCCGGGAGACTTCTCTGATCAATTTCCACTTCCTCTACATCCTCCTCCTCCTCCTCTTTTCTTGCTGCTTGACCGAAGTTTCTTGAAAATACATTTAATTTCCTAGCATTCAAACCTAATGTGCACCCATAAAGAGGTTGTCTATACAAACCATTGGGTAAACAATGTCTTATTCTCAAAAGCAAGCTCATTCTTGGCTTGTAAAGATCTCTCTGAATTGGCAAATCAGCTCATTCAACGTGCATTGTGAACTTTATTCCAGCACAAATCCTGGAAGAAGCACATTTGTTAAAATATTATCATCAAAGGCTAATTGAAATTGTATATTCTAAATAGATTGAAATGAAAAACAAAAGGCAGTACGAAAACTACAAGTTGAGGTATGAAGTTTGCCATAGTTTGCCAAAAATCATTGAGAACTGCTCTTCTGGTAAAAAAAACTTATAATCACAACTAATAAGTGAAACACAAAAAAGCTTCATTGTCCCAGCACAAGTAGATATATTGGGTACCACATGCATAACATAGTCGTGTCTCATGGAGTCAGTTATGTTTATTTTTGAGTCTTTTGGCTTTGAGTTTTAATTGATGGTTTATGATGAATTGCGATGATATATGATACTTTGTTTTGTGATGATTTTTGTGTTGAACATAAAGTGAACATATGTGATGATTTTATGAAAATTATGCGATGGATATAACATGACGGTAAAGCAACGATATGAATTTATGGCGATGGAGTTTATGTTTGTTTTGATATGATGATGATGATTACGTGACGAAATTAAAGTGTTGATTTTATACACTAAATGATGATTTTAAAGTATGTGAGATTTTGATATTTGTTGACATATTCTTATTAATCCTATATCATTTATGATTCCAAAACTATTTATATATTTTATCATGCCTTTAATTATATGTTTTGGAGTATCTCACCCTTTACTTGTTTCACCGTTGCCTTTATATTGGTAACGTGCAGGTGATCCGCGAGGATGATGAGGATTAGCTCAAGTCTCTTTATTTTGAGTCGCTCTGCTCTGATAGTAGTAACACTCGGGTTTTGAGCGATGTTATTATTTTGGATAGGATAGTTTATGTATACTATCTTATGATGTTATAACTTTATGTATTGATGATAACATGTTGATATGTATATTTTGTGAACACATCCGCTGTGTTGTGAATATTTATATGTGTATATGATGATTTATGATATAAATCGGTATATCCGACTTTTGATTTTTGTGTTGTGCATTATAATGCAAAGTGATGAAAACACGAATATGTGATACCTCAATTTATGTTTGGATGAAATTTTGAAACTCTGATTTTATTATTAATTACGAGGGGTAGAATTGAGGTGTTACACATACGGATGATTCGGGGTGGATTGCTCTTTGATCGGCGCTGACAAACCGATATATCTGTAGTTCATTTCTCTTCCTCTTTGTGTATTCTCTATTGGTTGGGTTTGTATGTATATTTTCTTTGAACTCATGTATATTTTTTGCCCTTGACATTATATAAAACTTGCTTTACGAATCTTTATGGATTGTTGTCCTGGATTTTTACTATGTGTTAGGGATTTGAGTTGTTATAGACATATATTGCTTAGATTCTTATCTAGGATGATTATCTGTTAGTTTATGAACTCTAGAGATAGATTTAGAGTCGACATCTATTTGGGTATTAGAGCTTAATGCCTCTATGTTGTTTGTGTTTCTCTAAGAGATCGTCGATACAGGCGAGAACAATTGACTTTTGTGTTATTTAGGTAGTTGAGAGATCGCTACCGAGGTGATGCAGTCAGCCTCTCAATTTGGGTTAGAAATTACTTAGGTTGTGAGTGATACGTAGTGACATTGATGAATATTATAGGTCGAGTATAACATGTCGATAGGTTTAAGTCTGTGAGAAGTAGTATATATGCATGCTTCACAAGTTATTCCCTTTTCCTTTTTATACATTTATTTTCTGTTAATGCATTTTCTTTCAATCAATTCAACCCCCAAACTCATTAACGAATGATTTTTCAAATAGAGAATCAATAAGCAATCTCTGTGGACACGATATGATATAACCTAAATATCACCTGGTAAATTAATAACTTACTTTTTGCTTGCCTCACTACCGCAACAACATGAGTCAGAGGAAAGTTCCTATCTACTCACCCTTCCATCTCGTGTGAAAATGCCCAAAGTCTAGACCCCCCCCCCCCCCCCCACACACACACACATAAAGAAATCCAAGCATCATAATCTAAACAAGACCCAAACAAAAAGAAATACATATACAATAATCATGGCACCCCCCCTTCTCATATTTGGGGGGTAACAGTTGGTTGGTGGTGCCACCACTCGCACAGGTGGAAGCAACCAATGAACACTCAGTTTAACAATATCAAGGTAGTGTATACACACTAATGACAACCACGAAAATAAAATAACATTTAACACAAAAGGAAACATATTGTAAAAAAACATAATAACGACAATAATAGAATCTCCACGAACATAAAATCGTAAATTGTAGAGAAAAGATATTACCAATAAATAAATAAATGAAATGTGAAAAAGAAAAAAGAGCAGAAATTTATTTTGCAATGAAGTTCTCCAAAGAACAACATTGAGTTTGATTCAAAATAGAACTGAAAAAAAAGTACAAAGAAACCCCATAAGTATGAGTGATGACAAAAAAAGAATAATGAAATAACGATTCCCTTTTTTATACACTCCTAGTTAATTTAGGAATATCAATGGCCTTTAAATTCAATAATTGTGAAGTTAAGAGTCTAAAGGTCGTCAATGGACCAATACATTGACACCATATCATTTAAGAGAAATTCAATTCTTACAAAAAAAAAACATAATTGAACCTTAGTTCAAGTAGAATAATTAATGAGCCATTCACCCTAGACCACCTAGATTCAGAGCTAGAGTCAACGTGGCAGAAAAGAAAAGTATAAAGTTCAAGTTAGGTCCACGTCATTATTTGACGAAGGACATGAATTTGTATGGTGACCAAATAAAATAAGAAATTCATACCATAAGAAATCCTAAAGGATGAAGAATGTGTGGCATTAAAGTGCACCTCAAAATATGAATAAAGAGTCTCTTTAAAAAATCACTAATGTTCCATCCAACTAGAAGGGGAGGTGGATTTGCCCACAAATGTCGGTTGATAGAGCCTTGAAGCCATAATTTGGCATGGCCAACAAAGATTTATAGGCAACTATTTTAGGCTTGTTCAAAACTGGTACACTCTAGTTGGTCAGGCTAAGCAGACCAGGGACTCCACTCACCCTATATGCATACTCAATCAAAGTCAGATAGACCTTTAAGACAATCATATGATAATACTTGTAAGATCATCTGACATTTGTTCCTAGACACAGTTATTCCCAAGAAGGCTATAAGATATATAAAATCTGAACTCGTACTATAAACTCTAACTAGTGGTTAAGCTTTAAAGTCTTAGATCCACAACTTTTTACTTTATGAGTAAACTCATTATCAATTGAGCTAGTCTTTGATATTCTCCTACTACGGAAGTAGCGGTTGGAGAAGCACTAGGGCTTTTGGCTTCTATCAAGTGGGTGCATGATCTCGATTTTGATAATGTGGATTTTGAGATGAATGCTAAAAGCATTGTAGATAATGTGAATAGTCAATATCCAAATTACACAGATTGACTCTATTACGCGTGAATGTAAACACTTGCTAGTTAACTTATTTATGAACTCTCATGTTAAATTTGTGAGGAGACAAGTTGCTCATGTTACGGGTGGCTCCATCTTTTACTAGGTTTTACAATTTTACTCCAATTTAATCTAATGAAGTATTTTCATGAAGATTCTTCAAACATATCCTATGTAGCAAATGATTTTTTTATTATTTAATTTTTACATGTTTATTTAATTTTCTTTTTATATTATTTTTTAAATTTTTTTATGTGTTCTCGAATTATTTTTGTTAAATTATTTATAAAATTATATTGATAAATTTATTATTAAAATATTAGTTTAGCGCTTAAAGCCCAATTTCTTTTCAAGAAGTCCATTAACTAAAGTTACAGAATGTATTGCATGCAGAAGAATATTGAGAGAAAGACAACAGGAGTTGCATTACATGTATGTTGCATTCTTTTTAAAGTCTCACATCGGAATTTTTTCATTAAATCGAAAAGTTTATATATCTCTTGTGTACAATGCAAAATTCAACTTTTAAGGAAAAAAAAATCTGTATCAAATAATAAGTTTGATTTGGTTGGAAATTTACAATATTATTTTTCATGAAATTTAAATTAATAAATAAAAAAGTTGGTTTAATTTGGTTCAAGCTGATTAATATTTAATAAAAATAATAAAAAAAACTTATTTAATTTTTTTTAAATACTATAACTTATTACACCATTAAAATAAATACATTAATTATAAATAAAATTTTTATAATTAAAAGTATAAAAGAAAATTGATTTGATTCAAAACATGAATAAAACCCAAAAAACAAATTCCTATAGATGGTATATATATAACATAAAAAAGGAGCAGTTTACATAAATACTTACATAATGAGAATATATTATATTTTACATGAAAGAATGTTAAACATTTAGTTAGTATAAACGAATCGTTAATATATTTGTATAGGAAATATATATCCATGTTAAAAAAATTAAATTTTATTGTATTACTTTCTAAACTTAAATTTTTGTCGGTTTGACCATAAATATTTTATAAATAATTAATTTTTTATATATAACTATTTAAATTTTAAACGAAATTTAGAAAAAATGAAAAAAGAAAAAAAGTAATGTCATGGTAGAAGTTTGAAGGTTAGAAAAGGGAATACAGTTGTCCGATGTTCGGAATTTTATACCGTCCGATAAAATTAACGATGAATTGTACGCCACGTGGACTTATCAGTGATTTTATATTTGAAAAGTTTAACCGCGGAGTTGCATGAATGGTTGGTTGGTCGGTCCATAGCGGTCACACCTTCTCTGACCACGGCAAATGGCCGAGAAAGAAATGTTGCAAACGGCGTTTGGTTTGGAACAGAGCTAAGATTGCGGCAGAGTTAAGGGGCTCCGACGACGGAGATCTGACAACGAAAAAACAAAAGCCGGCCGGCAACGGCAGAGTAACGACGGCCAAGCTCACAGTAAGTAAGTAGCCAAATCATTCTCT